ATATCTATAATTTAAATATTAGATGGATATCAAACAATACTCATAATTAATTATTAATCTGCATTTTTATTTTCATTTATAGGATTTAACTTTAAACCTTGCTTTTCTAAGTAAACATAGCATGTTAACATAATACTAAAGACATATAATACGAAATGTGGTATAAATAGAATAGAAATAATTATTTATTATGTAATGTATGCATTTAAATTGTTAAATAAAAGTATGATTATTATGAATTTTATTTCTGTAATATATATTCTCATTAAAATATAAATATATATATATAAATATTATTAATCCTCTTTAATATTAAAATTTTTGTTGATAGTGATACTATTATTAGATTCATCATCATCTGGTTCATGAAAAGCTTTATAAACATAACAAAATATTATTAAATGCACAGTAATAACAGCAGCAGTTACAGACACACAATTGGTGATGAATCTGTCTGTATGAAATTCGGTAGTCATAACGTGCTGTACGCCAAAAAATGCAGCAAAAGGCAATGTAAACATCGCAGTACTATATAAAAAAAATGTCATCAACGTTGCAAACAGAGTCATAATTAAGATATTAAAATAAAATTAATAATATCATAAATAACTCCTTTCTTGGATTTTTTATATGTAATAACAAGCTTCTTTTTCCGTTTTATTTTTTCTAAGATCTCCAATCTTTGATCAAATTATTAAGACTTTTCCAAGATGCTCGGTAGAAACTTTTTTAATGTCATTGAAGTCAATGTAGAAGTATCTCCCAATTCTGCAAAAAACATGCACTTTTGATAATATGAAAGGTCCAAGTATATTTACCTGTTTTTTGAGGTATGGCTACATCAGAATCATTAATATTCTTCAACGCATCTCTTAAACGACTTTCATAATTTAATATTGTTTCAATGGGTTTAGCATTGCCAGTTAACCGTTGCTTTCCCCAAATAAGTTCTGTTATTAAAATTCTTGCTAACCAAGGATCAAAACGTGGTTCATTTATAAGAATTTTCGTTGCAACAATAAGCTGATTTAATAGATCACTTTTTTGTAGGGTATTTAATGTTAAAGCATACAATCCAGATACATTCTACAGAAAGAAGTTTAAAATCTATGTATAATGTGTTTAAAATATCAATTCTCACGCAATTTATAGTACAAAGAAAAGTGTATAATTAATAAAGCAATGTAAATAAAATAAACAAAGTAGAAAATTCTTTACTGATTAATTCTCAATTTAGATTACTCATAACAACTCTTCGTTATATTGTATGTATTTATTTACTTACAGGATGCTTTTCAGAAAAAATTAATGATTTAAAACTAGCACCATTTTCTTGAACATCTCGTACAATTTTCGATGCTATTTTATATAGTCGAGGAACTTTTATAGAATGTACAAATCCTTTAGACATATTACATTCAATGTTATTTTGAAACTTTTTATAAGTAAACTATTTAAACAAATTATATTTTATTGTTCTTTTTTCATGCCATGTGATTCGGCTTTGTGCTTTTTATAGTTACATCGAGTACAAAATTTAGTCATCAGAGGACGTGAATCGAGACACTAGCGACATCGGAAAACGTAACGGCAGAATCGATTAGAAATATTCTAGTTCGAACAGTATATACGAAAACATGTTACAACTCTTCAAATTGAAAAAGGTTATATTCTCGTTGATACACAACCCAATAATTTTATTTTTTAAACTAGTACTTAGCAATTAAGTATACAAGTTTTCTGTGAATTGTGTCCGTTTAATCTGAAATAAAAATTACATATCTTTATCTATTATTTAAAGTATATCTATAACTTTTTCTTTTTATCAAAAGGTATATTACTTATAATTTTATTCAGATTTTGATTTAATCACAATACCATAATTGTTCGCAATGTTTTCTTATTTCCTTTGATATTTTTTAGATGGCTTTACAAGATTTTCCAAGAGGAGGAGAAAAACGTAAAAATACAACAACTTCAAAACAAGTAAGTTTTTCTTTGCTATTATTTAAATTTTATTACAATTTATGTTAGACTAATATGTAAATCTATATTTTGATAGTTATTATATAAAAATACTGAAAGTAAGAAAAAAAGAAAAACCAAGGATAACAGAAAATTTAATAACGCAAGTAGTCAAGAATCTGACTTGGTCGCTTCTACGAGCTCAAAAGTAAAAAGGAAAGAAAAATCAAAAATCTTAAGTAATGGTGAAAATGATAAAACTAAAGAGCAAGTAAAAATGAAAAATAATTCAAAGAAAAATATTTCCAATAAAAATGACGTTATGAAATCGAATGGAAAAGCACTCCCACGAAAAAGAAAGCCTGAGGAAAAATGTGATACACATAAAAATAAAAAATTAAAAAAGAGAAATCGAAATCTTATTGATATGAATAAAACTGACAATGACGTCAAGAATGAACAAAATACAAAAGACGATAATAAACGTCATAAAAATAAGGAAGATAAAAGCAATAATAAAAAAGATGTTAAGTTAGGCCATGAAAATACACTTAGTTTACCTCAATGTGGTTTTTACTGGGATCCAATGCCAGACTTAAGATTAACAGCCGATATTCAAACATCTAGTGATAGCGAGGACGACACAGAGAAACAAAAAACATCAAAAGTGAAAAAATTAAATGCTGCTCAGCGTAGAGAACAAGAACGACAAAAAGAACGTGAAATAAGAGAACGTGAAGAAGCTTTAGCAAGCAATCAAATGCCTAATTCAGTAGATCAGTTTGATAGATTAGTATTAGCAAGTCCAGATAGCTCATTGGTTTGGTTGCAATATATGGCTTTTCATTTACAAGCAACAGAACTAGAAAAAGCAAGAGCTGTTGCAAAAAGAGCTATTAAAATAATTAATTTTAGGGAAGAAAATGAGAAATTAAATGTATGGAATGCATGGTTGAATTTAGAATCCAAGTTTGGTACATCTGAAACTCTCAATGATGTTTTCCAAGAAGCTGTAAAAAGCAACGATGCTTTAAAAATTTATACGCACATGTTAACGGTACACGTTGAATCAAAACGACAATTTGAATTAGAGAAACTAGTTAATACTTTTATAGCAAAATTTAAACAAAATCCACAAGTGTGGGTGGAATGTGGCAGTGCATTACTAAAACTTGGTTTGAAAGATAAGTCTAGACAAATAATGCAAAGAGCGTTACAATCTTTACCATCATCGGAACGTAAGTAATCATTAAGTGCTTTACAATAAATTTACTTGTAACATTTAATTTAATAATTTTTTATTTAACACACTATGTTTAGATGTCAATATTATGGTACGTTTTGCAAATCTTGAAAATCAATTTGGAGAGAAGGAAAGATCGCAAACATTGTTTGAACAAATTTTATGCTCGTATCCCAAACGCGTCGACATATGGTCATCTTATGTAGATTCTTTGGTAAAGTCAGGAGAGATTGATATTGGAAGGTAATATTTTATGTTTCCCCCTTGAAATCATGAAATAAAATCTTAAATATACATAAGTGATTCAATATTTATGTGTATTTGTACCTTTTCTACAGGAAAGTCTTAGAAAGGGCAATCGTCCAAAATCTACCACCCAAAAAAATGAAAACACTTTTTAAGAAATTTATTTCCTTCGAAGAAAAACACGGTACCTCAGAAGACGTACAACGTGTACAACGTGTTGCTACAGAATATATAGAAAATCAATGTAATGAACGTATAAATTAATTATTATAAGTTTATACTATTATTTGTATTGTATAAAAACGTAAGAATTAATGATAATATTTTATAGTGTTATTCTTATGTTATAACTTAAGAATGTTATACTGTAAATACATTGTATAGATAATTGTAAAAATAAACTTTTTCACAAGTAAAACAAAATCTTCGAACAATTAAAATTAATTTATGACTACTTTGGCTATTATCTTTCGCTATTAATTATACAAATTGTCAATAAAATTTCGAATTAAATGAAACTTTCTCTAGTGATAATTTAATCTCGTAAAATTAAAAATGTATACGAATTTTATATGTAAAGACACCATCTTTGATTCCTGTTTTGAGTATTTCATTCCTAACAACTTATTTACATGGCACGAAATGCGTTATGAGAAAATATCAGAAGAAAAACAAAAAAATTAAAGATAATTGGTAGTAGTATTAAAGTAAATATTTGATTTAATACAAACGACAAAATCTATCTAATAATCATATCACTCTTTCTAAATAATATCAATTGTAAATCGTGATTAAAGTATAGGATGAAAATAGTTAACGATAGAAACACGCGATCATGCGGGTGCGCCTTTTTATTTCTTTCCTTCTTCTTTGGAATTGCAATTGCAACTTTTATAGAATGTAAAAATCCTTTTAACTTATTATATCCAATATTATTGTTAAACTTTTAAATAAACGATTAAAGCAAATTATATTTTATTCTGTTCTTTTTTCACGCCATGTGATTCGGCTTTGTGCTATTTATAGTTACATTGAGTACAAAATTTAGGGACGTGAATCAAGACACTAGTGACATCGAAAAACTTAACGGCAGAATCGTATCAAATATTCTCGTCCGACCAGTTTAATTAAACACGTGCTACTATGCTTAAAATTGAAAACGGTTATATTCATTGACTAACAATCCAATAATTTAATTTTTTAAACTAGTATTTAATAATTAAGTATACAAGTTTTTTGTGAATTGTGTCCGTTTAATCTGAAATAAAAATTACATATCTTTATCTATTATTTAAAGTATCATTATCTATAACCTTTTCTTTTTATCAAGGTATATTATTTATAATTTTATTCTGATTGATTTATTCATAATACTATAATTAATCGCAATGTTTTCTTATTTTCTTTTATATTTTTTAGATGACTTTACAAGATTTTCCAAGAGGAGGAGAAAAACGTAAAACTTCAGAACAAGTAAGTTTTTCTTTGCTATTATTTGAATTTTATTACAATTTATGTTAAACTAATATGTAAATCTATATTTTGATAGTTAATATATAAAAATACTGAAAGTAAGAAGAAAAGAAAAACCAAGGATAACAGAAAATTTAATAACGCACGTAGTCAAGAATCTGACTTGGTCGCTTTTACAAGCTCTACAGCTGAACGTCTATCTAATGCGATATTATGCGAAGGCTTAGTAATCTTAGGGAGAATTTGCGAAGTTAAAGACTATGAAATTATTGTTTCATTACCGGGTGGATTAACTGGTCAATTGAAAGCTTTGTTTATTAACAAATCGTATAATGATATGTTAAATAGTCTAATTAAGGAAGAAGATAATTCATTATCCCAATATAAACCTTTAACAGAATTATACAATATTGGAGAATATATTGTATGTTATGTTAAAAGTACTCATGCTGAAGGAAAATGGAATATACAATTATCTCTAGAATCACATTTAATAAATCAAAATATTAATATTAATTATTTAGCTTCTGGTATAAGATTAACTTGTACTGTAAGTAGTATAGAGGATCATGGTTATATCATGGACATGGGCATTCCAAATGTAAGAGCATTTATTTTTAATAAGGATGTAGATGCAGATAACAAATATTGTAAGTATTATTAACCGTGAAATTTATAATTGCACTCATTAACCCCTTGCACTACAACAATGTGTGAAACTCGTAATAAGTTTTACAGCCCAAACATAAGTATGAATTACAGCACTGAATATGGCATATAGCTCCGTGCTTTAAATCATAGTGCAAGGAGTTAATATTTATTTGATTGATAATATTATTAATATCCTCATATGTTTTGTAGTTCCAGGTAAACAGCTTTTTTGTAGTATCAAAGAATTGCAAACAACGAACAATGTAACGACTATTAACTTGATAGCTAAACAGAAATTAGTTAGAAAAGTTATCAATTACGAGATTGAATCTCTAAATATTCTTACGCCTGGAACAAAAATTCCGCTTTGTATTAAAAAAATTTTATCAAATGGATTACAAGTGTCTTACGGTGAAGAAAATATAGGTTACATAAATAGAATTTATATAGATAAAAATGAATCTTCTTATACAGAAGATATGATGATAAATGGAACATTAATGTACATTATGCCAACAGTCAAATTTGGATATTTCAGTTTAATTATAAACAAGAAGCCTGAAATGGAAACGCAAGATGAACATTTAAATAGAGGAGACATTGTTGAAAAAGCCACTGTCTTATTTAGAGAATCTGGTGGCATTGTCTTACAATTAAATTCGCATCTACGCGGGTTTGTATCCTTGCATAGAACTGGTGTTAGCTTTGAAAAAGTAGCAACCAAATTTACTCCTAATTCTGTACATAAATGTAGAGTATTGTTTTACAACTGGATGGAACAAATGTATACGTGCACAATGCAACCGGATGAATTGAAGGAAAAACATTTTACGGATTCTGATATTTCTATAGGCGATTTATTACGCGTGCAAATAAAAAAAATTAATACCGAAAATAATTATATAACCGTAAACATAGGAAAAATAATTGGAACTGTCACTCCAGAACATATATCTGATTTTAAATCAAATGTTTGGAACACATTGAAAGTTGGTCAATGGATTGAAGCCAGAGTTCTAAATATAAATAAAGAAAAAAATAAAATATTATTTACATTGAAGGAATCATTGGTAAAAAGTAATTTGCCCATTTTGTCTAATATTCATGATGCTAAATGTGGTTCAAGGCATCATGGTACTATTGTACAGATTAATAAAAATGGTTTATTAGTAAAATTTTTTGGAGATGTTAAAGGATGGCTTCCGTGCGTATATTTAGATAAAAGTACTGCTTCAGTAAACTGGAATTACAAGATAGGACAAACAATAGCAGTATATATTGAAAATGTTAATGAAAACGAAGGAAAAATGAAATTAAATTTACTTAATAAAATTATTAATTTAAAGAGAAATGAATTATTGATTGGACAGATAGTAGAAGGGAATATTATAGAAGCTTCTTCCAATGGAATACGATTGCAAGTTAAAGATAAAGACGGATATTCTCAAGAAGGATTTTTACCAGCAGGTCATATGGCACCATGCATTCAGATAGGCAAACTTTTAGCATCAAAATATACACCTGGTGATGTTATTTCTGCTTTAGTATTTTCTACTGAACCAACCTTATTATTAAGTAGAACGTTCTTGTCAGACGAAGAACATAGAGAATTAAAACAACTCAAAATCGGAGATTCTATACCAAGTTCGGTTAAAGATATTACACAAGATGGTGTTAGAATTGTTCTACCTATTAAAAATTATAATAAATATGGTTTTGTTTCATACAGTAACATTTCTAATTTTGACAAGTTATATGTAAATCAAATATTATTTGCGAAGATTACTGATATTAGAAAAAAGGAAAAACAATTAAGTTTAACTATGTCATTGGAAAAACTATGGACTGAAGAAAATGATGAAGGGCAAAAAATTATGGGACCGGTCGATCTTCTTAATCTTTACTTTAATAAGATTAAAGAATTAGTAAGTAATCCTTACTATAAGACAAGACCTATATCAACTGCAAGTATTGGACAAATTGTTACTGGAGAAATTGATAAAATTACGGAACATGGTCTTACATTAAAGTTACAAAACAATCTGCAAGGTACAGTATGTAAAGAGCATTATACTGGAAATGTTAAAGTGGGAGATAAAGTATCGGGAAAAATTTTATGGATCAATTATGTACATGAATTTGTTGAAGTAACATTATTACCTAATATTATAAGAAAAATTAACTCTCATCAAAATACTAAACCACCTACTAGAACTTTATTGCGTGGAGAAATTGTGATGACTTCACAATGGTTCGTTTTAGTAGCATTGAAAGGTAAAGGAGGAGGTACATTAGCTGCTTTACCTGCTCGTCTTCATGTCAATGACATATGGCCAAATTTAAAACCATATGTTATTTCATCTCGTATTAGATGTTATGTTATTTTAAATAAACAAGAATCTGGTATTATGCCTATCTGTATGCTGAAATCTGCATTTGAAGTATCAAAAAAAGCAGCTCTATCTAAAGTAATAAAAAAATAAACTATCATTGTGTTTTTATTTTATAAGAACGTAATTATTAATGATAATAATTCATAGTGTTATTCTTATATTATAACTTAAAAATGTTATATTGTAAATACATTGTATAAATAATTGTAAAAATAAATTTTTTCACAAGTAAAACAAAACCTTCGAACATTTAAAAATAATTTATGATTACTTTGGCTATCATCTTTCGCTATTAATTATACAAATTGTCAATAAAATTTCGAATTAAATGAAACTCTCTAGTGGTAATTTTATATATAAAGACACCATCTTTGATTTCTGTTTTGAGTATTTCTTTCCTAACAACTTATTTACATAACACAAAACGCGTTATGAGAAAATGTCGGAAGAAGAACAAAAAATTAAAGGTAATTGGTAGTAGTATTAAAGTAAATATTTGATTTAATACAAACGACAAAATCTATTTAATAATGATATCTCTCGTTCTAAATAATATCAATTGTAAATCGTGATTAAAGTATAGGATGAAAATAGTTAACGATAGAAACACGCGATCATACGGGTGCGCCATATTATTTCTTTCCTTTTTCTTTGCGATTGCAATTGCGTTTGCGTTAATGTTAGTTCTTCTATATCTCTAGCATGCTGGACGTTTCCTTAAAAGTTTCTAGTAAAATCTGTTGTGTTAATTATTTGTTGGGCTAAAGTTATTTGTTTATAAATCTCTTTTAAACATTCATATTTATTAAATCCAGATCAAAATTCATAGGTCAAGAGTGATTGCAAAAGTGGAGACTTCGAGAGTCTCGCAATCTAAATATGCAAGAAGTAGAAGGCACAGACGGTAAATAATATTTTTATTTTTTCAATACTACTATTTATAAATTAAGGGTGCATTATATTACTTTAAAATAATATAACAATATGATATTGTTATATTAACATTAGAGTCGTTTTTAAACAAATTTAAATTGCATTATACATCTAACCTCACATTTTGTACTAGTCAATGAAACTTACCTGTGTGTGTGTGTGTGTATTCATGAGTTAAATATTTTTTAGATTATGTAGAATGAAGGTAAGATTAAAAAGATATTTGTTAGCAGGGTCACCATGGAACAATTCCAGTGGTTGCGAAGAAGAGCGCAGGTCGAATCAAAAGGAGGGTAAAAAATCCAATGTTTTGCCATTATGGGGTAACGAAAGAACTATGAATCTGAACCCATTAATATTGACAAATATACAATCTTCACATTATTTTAAAGTTAATTTGTATGAATTGAAAACTTATCACGAAGTGATAGATGAAATTTATTACAAAGTATCGCATTTGGAACCATGGGAAAAAGGAAGCAGGAAAACGGCAGGCCAAACTGGCATGTGTGGAGGCGTGAGTATGTTTTTTTCAAAACGTTGTTGTTATTTTATGTTATTAATATAAGTATTGAATTAAGTTTAAATCTATAAGAAGATAAGGTTGTCTTATATTTTAAGTGCATTACCTTTATTATATTATCAATATTTTAAAATATCTGAGTATTAATTGAAACCAAATCTGATAGTAAAAACCTGCATTGAAAGATGTTCAAAACGGGTTATATTGCTTACAGATTTTTAATATGACATATCAAATATTATTCTATATCCATATAAATATATATGTATGTATGTACATATATATTTAAAAATATTGAATTTGTACTATGAACACTTAATACATCATCTATTGCAGAATAGCATGTTCTTGGTTGATATGTTATATTACAGTATGAATGTGATTAACTGATATAGTGGATGAAAATTTAGCGGTTCATTCAGGTACGGGGTGTGGGTGCTGGCGGTATCGTCTCAACAGCTTATTGCCTTCTATTTAAACTGTTCACGTTGAGGTTAACAAGAAAGCAGTTGAATGGTCTAATTAATCATCTGGATTCACCGTATATACGTGCCTTGGGCTTTATGTATATCAGGTAAATCATTTTCAATGATATAATTGAAATATAAACTTGATTATCCAGCATGCGTGTCTATGGGTTTTTTTGCAATCGAGTTGTTATCATTAGTAGGTCGCAATTATTCCTTCTATTATGATACAACTATGACATACTATGCTGAATACAAATATCAATAGTTATTAAAAGGATGAAAAGGTATCATTACCGAAGATCTTTTAAATTTAAGGAAATCATAAAACAGTGCGACTAATAGTTACGTTCCAGCTAAGGACTTAAAAATGGTATGAGCCAAGTTAATTTAAACTTGTTAAAAGATATTCTTTATTTGGATGAATTTTATTGTTTAAGAAAATAATTTATTTTCAAAGTTTTATATCTAATTATTTAAAATAGTTATCTTTTATCTTATTCATAACCTCAGCAAATTAAAGGCAGTTCGAATTAGTTTGGATAATCGAGTTAATATTGCATTTACTCGTCTCATTACATTATTATTTTTCTTTTATGTCTATCATTTCATTGAAATATTTATCTTATAACAGATATACTCAACCGCCAGCAGATTTGTTCAGTTGGTACAGTGATTATTTAGAAGACGAAGAAGAAGTAGATGTAAAAGCGGGTGGTGGGCAAGTTATGAAAATGGGTGATATTTTAAAACAATTTTTAACAAAATTGGAATGGTTTTCCACTTTATTTCCAAGAATACCTGTACCTATACAAAAGGAATTAGAACACAGACTAGCGGAAAGATTTCCACAACAAACTATTAATGCTCGTAATGCAAAACCACCTATCACATTAAATAGTCACGGTAAATATAGTAGTAATAGCACTAGTGGTCGAAAAGATAATGGGAATTTAATGAGAAATCAGCAACCACGTCATATCCCAGACAACGAAGCTGAGTGGGGAGAGGCAGAAAGAGCAAGCCACTGGCGAGCCAGGTGCGTCTACGTGGTATGAATACAATCACGTTACTAATTTTCAATAAATAAATTCAAATCATATGAAAATCCTTTTTATAGAAATATGAAAAAAAAAAAAAAAAAAAGAAATGTAATCAATTCAATTAATTTTCAAAACGTTTCGAATTGGATAAAAAATAGAATATGAAATTAAAAGTATGCTTAGTGTATTGCATCAGTACTTCCCTTCGAATTTATCATGTTACAGGTCTGACGAAGATCGTAAGGATAAGTATAGAGAACGAGAAAGAGAAAGAGAAAGAGAAAGAGATGCAGATAGAGACAGAGTTCGAGAACGTGAAAGAGATAGAACTACTCGTGAACGAGATAGAGAGAGGGAAGGACATTTTAGGCACTCAAGTAGTCATGATAGAAGTCGACGATTAAGAGATTACAGAAGTCGTAGTAGAGATAGATCATATAGAGATCGGAGTAGAGATCGTCATCGTGATAAGGATCGACACCGAAGCAGGTAGATAATCATTTCATAAAATCTATCAATAAATCTATCAATAGTCTATAAATATAATTTTCTTCTTACAGAAGGAGTTCACCATATGATTATACTGCAGCGCTCGCTTGTGAGAAAGAAAGACAACGAAAAGGATGAGATTAACAAATAAAAGATATTTACAAAAAAATATCAATTTATGTATGTGACGTTTGATAATGTATGATGTATGATTGTATGGATACGTGAACACGAGCGAATAGGTATGCGTGTGTTTGCTGCAACTTGTGTATGTGTGCATGCATTGTGTATGTTTGTGCGCGTAAATAAAAACATCCTAATATAACTGTGGAAATGAACACGACTTAGAGCCGAGCCATTCTTAGAGCAACATCTCCAACAACAAAATAATATCCTAAATTTGATCCAACTATGTGCAACACATGTAGTTTCCATGTTTTTATAAAATAAATTCTGAAGCACATCTATATAATGTATGGTATTTTAATAGATTAAATTGCCCTCCATCGTATATATATTATAAGAATAATAATGTCTTTACCGAGTTTCACAGCCATGAATAGGAATTGATTTACAATCTTCTTATAACAATTTTAAGCTATTATTTATTGTATTCATTTATTCTTTCGATTCACTCAAACACTAATCAAAACTCTTTTAAATATCTCTTATATAACAAACTATATTATGCCTTATTTTATTACGTAGGATTTGAATCAAAGAAAAAATTTGTAATTATATTATTAGATATTTCAATATTAATTTCATTATTTTGCAAGTTGAAAAGGATTGTTTTGACAATCAAATGAATTTCTCTAAAGAGCTACCAATGAATCGGCGAGTCTTAGTTTGTGAAATGTACTGGAAAGTAAAATACATATTATGCATACATGTAAAGATATGACGTGTGCAATATACTTAGTCATGTCGCTGTTTCTTCTGCCATAATTTATTGTCGACTTTATCCAATTTGCTTGGGATAATAAAGAATCCTCTGTCCAAAATCCAATCTCTTGGGCTATTGTTATTGGTATTCTATACATATCTGTAGGTCCAACTGGTTTCCATAAACCCTTCTTTCTTTGCAAATGCATGCGCTTGTTACTTCCATATGAAAAGCCATCGGCAGTGCCAAGGATTGGATCAAGTTTATTATAAATCTCGCTAAAACTTATATTTTTATTACAACGTAAACGTTCTTCTAGAATTTCTTTAACATTCGGCAGTATAATAGGTTCTCGATAATCTGAAAATTTCGATACACGTATATAATAATAATTGCATCATCGAAAAAATTTATCTATTTATAAGAATGATTAGTTTTAGGATATTTAAGTAGTATAATAGTAGTATAATAGTAGTATAATATATATATATATAATATAAGTAGAGTATAAGTAGTATAATATATATATTAGGATATATTAGACAGTATAAACATATCTATCCGCAAATTTTACCTTTCCTTAATGTTTCAGTAAAATAATTGCCATAACCGGTCAAAGTAAGCCCAAATATCTCCATTGTTAGAATATCATGTATATGACATAACTAATTACGTTTTACAATAAATAGAAAAACAAATTAAAATTAAATTAGATCGTTACATAAAAAGAACGTTAAAATAGATTTTAGAATAAACTTGAAAAATGCGTACTTTCAACCGTTGGAAATAAATCAGAAAAATTTATTTCACGTGCTAGATACACGTACATTAATAAAACTGTTCAAATAAATGTAAAATAATCGAAAATATAAATTATTTAAGCTTAATTGTTAGGAGGAAAAATTTTCGATATTCCCTAGTTGGAATTCGAAAATAGACTATCTCGGTCAGCTTAAAAATCAATCGTACGTTTGTTTTTATTTATATCGCTCGACAAAATTACAATCAATATTTACCTGTGTTCAAATATCGAATTTATATTATTTTACAGTAAAAATATGTGTTAAGAGCTATGTAACGTTTAAGCAAATGTATTATCATTTAAATATTATAATTTTATACTTGATAGAGAGACTTAAGATATCGTTTGAATGAATGTCAATTAATCAAAAGTATGAATTATTTAATACAATTTCGAGATAAATTCGAGAAATCAATTAAAATCATTCAACAATTATCTATTATTTGTAATCTCACAAATTTTTGAATAAATTTAATTTTCATTAGCGGTGTCCATTGGTTATCTAAGTGCTCTATGATTGGTCAGTTGCATCGATATGCTTTTTGTCGATGGTGCTTATATCGAAGTATTTCAACGCTGATAATGGACAGGCTTAATATTATAGACTCCCTTATTTAGAATTAACTTACGGTTTTGTGAACGAAGCTATATACAAGGAGGACGATCGAGATATGCGTTTTTGTCGAATTTGTGTTGTTGAAAATGGGGAAATAGCAAGTACGATAATTCTCTATGAGGGCGGCGGTGGTATTCAGGAGTTCAGATTTAAGTACATGTGATTTTATAAATGAACAAATGAAATAAATAGTTCTTGTGGCCGTCACGCCAAAGCTTGGCGCCTCCGGCACTCTTACCGTCACGCCCCTAGTGGCGAAACAAAAGAACTAAAAAAACACCACGCATTTGAACAACCGCTGCTATTCGCTCTCTTCCGTTCCAACCACCGAGCTAGACACACGCGTACTCACGAGCAGTAAACAAAGACGTGAAACTAGTCACTACTTCCTTTTTACTCTTTAAGATTTTGTTAAGTTTGTTATATATTTTGTACAAGACCTTTTTGCGGTGCGTTCCACTAAGCGCTCACAACGATCAAAATGCTCCTTTAGTCGTTCCACATAACAACCGCGGTCGTTGTGGTCGCGGCGAAAACGTCACTCATGACGTCATTACTAACGCTCACGCGAAGCCCGCAACGACCCATCTGAAAACGTGGGTCGTAGTGAGCGTTGAGAAAATTAGCGGTTTTTTTGAAACTGACAACAATAAAAATGGCGATCGTGAAACTGACATGAAGGATTACAGATTAAATCTTAACCTCTTTAATCTTTTACTTTCTTTTCACTACCTCGCCATTTGTATTATTACCTCCACGCTCAAAACGCACCATAGTCCATTCCACTTGAATTTAGGACAGTAACGCTCGTAGGTAAGTGGAACGGGAAAAACTGTGGTCGTGAGCGTGATCGTTGTGAGCGCTTAGTGGAACGCACCGTTGATACGTTTTATAATAAAATATTTATATAATATTTTTCCCTAGTGAATTAGTGATTTCCTAATATAATTGAACACGCTACATTCTCTTTGATGTTCGCGCTCTCTAGTAGCAATAGAAATCATCCTTTCATACTGCATATACGTAGACACATTTATAACACTGCGATCGTTCTTCTTGAGCTTCGTTGTTTTGTGAATTGAAAACGACTTAAAGAATATACGTCGCATTTCGATTTCCGTTCTTGGTAGAGTAAGGTCGTTTCCGTGAAAAAGTAAAGTGGTCACTCTACCATCTGTATACTTAAAAAAAAAATATACAGTGCAAAAGAGCAACACCATCTTGGTTTTTCAACGTAAATTGGAAAGTATATTTCCATAGAATCTTGTAGAAGATTATAGAAACACCTGAAGATAGTGGTTGTGGAGAAAATTCCTCTGCCCAGCCGACTATTAGACAACGTAATTTTGTCTATAAAATAGAATGCCTTATATTTTGTATATTTAAAAGATACTTTTTAGAAATACGTCGTAGAAAGGTTAACAATGGATTTTGATACGTTGTTAAGCGTTGCAGAAAAGAACGAAGTTAATAAGCAAGTAAGCACTGAAACATTCATTTGTATATTTAGAAATTCATGATAAATTTCTTAATAATATTCAATTTTTATCTATTTTGTTCTTCACAGACCGTTGCCTGTTATCAAACCAAATTTACGCCTCTGAAGAAGCAAAATAAACAATCTAAAACATTGTCGGATAATATCAAAAAATTTTTAGCCAAAAAAGAAGAAGAAGAGAAGAGGAAAATTCTTGAAGAAAAGAAAAAAAGAGATGTAAGTTGATTCTTTATGTCAAGTAACAACCTAGAAATATTAACAGTCTAATAAATTCATATCATAATAAAGAAAATATCATTTATTTAATTATTAGAAAATATTATTTATTATTATAATTCATTTTGTAGAATTTACTTGCCTTACGGGACCACAAAGCTCAAAGTCGTATCAACAAACATTTGAAAGTATGTAAGGCTGCAAACAAGTCCGTTTTAGCAGATGCAATAGACAATGAGAATACAGCTGTTACTATAGCAGGTACGTTAATCTTGTTTTGTAAATTGCTATTATTACGAGTAAAGATAAACTATAATTAAAACGTCTAAATGTAATCAATAATAATAATAAAGTTCCAAATAAAACAAATAGTCGATGTTACATAAGAGATTAAAAAAGTAGATAATTCATAAATTAGTCTATGACGATATGATAAATATATACATAGATTTTTTTTTACTGTTAAGAAAAATTTCTTTTAATAAATATTGGGCAGTATTTTTGCCCACAGGTTATATTAATAGATGCGATACGATACCTTGTTTTCTCATCCGGAATGGGCGCGGAACAGTTTCATGGATTAATACAACAGAAGATGCAAATGGATTGATTAAGGTTAGCCAACGAATTATAAATCGCAGAGCTTTGAAAATTAATTTCAATTCATTTCTAGATCATTGTAACAAGCTATGAAATGTTTTTAATTAGAATGCATTGTAGATGTAGAAAATATAGAAAATAATAAATGGTGTATCGTTGTGCATTTATACAGTAATAGGTGACTCGATTTAGCATTTATGCGTTCATTTAAAATATTATCTTTTTCTCATCTCCTATTAAAATAATTATTTTTTTTATCTGTGTATATTAGTTTCATATATTTTATCAACAAATTTGTCTATTTACTTTTATACTATGTGTACTATTAATATTTGGAACTTTATTGTTATATATCATAAATTGTTTTCTTATTCCTTTAGGATTTATATTTTATAAAAATATTATTCAATAACTTTAAATTATAGGCCCTTCTCAACCAGACGAGGATGATTATGGATACGTCTCTCAGGAGGCATCTGCATTTTATAATCAATTAATGAATAAGTATAATAATTTGCCTCCTGAGAAACCTCTTTTTAGTAGCAGCGGAAAAAAAACTGCTAAAGATATTGCATTGACCAAGGTATGATTTTTACTTGATTAATTTTTTTTTATTTCATTTTAATTTATGATATCATAGAGATATAATATTAATGGAAAATTTTTCATCGCAGGATAGAGTAAAGCAAGCTTTAAAACAACAAGAAATTGATGATTCTCTTGGTCATAGAAGAAGAAAGCGAGCATTGACAGGTGATGATCAGAGTGACAAAGTGCCTGAAAAGAAAGTTAAGGAACAGGATAAGCCGGAAAAAGAAGAAAAGGAAGAAAAAGTGAAGGTCAAGAAGAAACCTTTACCACCTCCAATGGATTTTGGAGAACTTTTAAAACTTGCAGAAAAAAAACAACACGAACCAGTGATGATCGAAGTCAAACCAAAAGTTGAAGAAGAGAGATTGATGACTAAGAAACAAATGAAGGAATATATGAAAGAAAAAGAATGGAGAGAAAGAAAAGAACAATTAGCTAGAGGAATAGATGTAACGAAAAAAACTAACGTTACCATGTCTGAAGTTAATAAATCAAATAAATCGCTTACGTCTAAAATTACAAAACCGAACGACAAAAGTTCTGTAGATTCTTCTTCTCTGCAGAATAAAAATTTGTCTTCTAGTGCAACGGTGCAAAATAAAAAAATTCCGACTAAATCTAATAACATTTTAAGCGAAAAAAGTAATCTTATTAGCAAACCTACCGCTAATGTAACGAAAAATTCTATGAAAGATGAGTTATTAGAAGAACGTAAAAAATTAGAAGCAGAAAAACGTAAGTTGGAAGAAATGCGTAAAGCGATAGAAAAGGAAAAGATGCAATTAGCGCAAAGTAAAATAAAACAGGAAGAATCCAAATCGTCTGTCAAGAATTCTAACAAAATTTTATCATCGACAAAAAGTATAGACAAACAAGCTTTATCCAAAGATAATAAATCGAAACAAGCGTGTATGTTAAATGGAAAACCGAAACAATTTCCTCCATCGGATGTTAAACCACTTAAAAACAAAGTTCCAGGTGGAAAAGTTGTTAAGAAACCAGGCTTTTCTAACAGTCGTAAGTATATGACAAATATTTTTGTTTTCAGTATTATCGACTTATAAAATATGGACTAATATATATTTTTTATTTAGGTCGCATATATGATGATGATGAAGAATATGATTCTGAATTAGATGATTTTATCGATGATGGTCCAGAAGAAGAAGGTCAAGATTATAGTAAATATATTAGCGAAATATTTGGTTACGATAGAAGCAAATATAGATATGTGGATGATGATGATGATGATATGGCAGCAATGGAAAGTAATTTTGCGCAGCAACTTAAAGAAGAACTTGTATCTACGAAAATAGGTATTATGGAAGATTTAGAAGATATTCGTATGGAAGCGTTAGAAAAAAAACGAAAAGCTCTTTTGAAAAAGAAAATGAAAAAGTAGTAAGCTGTATATTTCTGACAATGTCGGATGAGTACAAACTTAACCCTTTCGCTGTGCTATGCTTAAATAATTAATGAAGTGTTATGAACTCTGTGAATAGAATATGTTGCTCATAAAGCACATTTTTGACAGTAAACATGAAGTTTTTACAAATAATACAATGTATTCCTAAACAAATTATATTCATTGGTATCAAACATTACATTTATTTTTATTATTGTACAGTTTTCTTAAGCAAGCTGTAATTATTTGAGTACGTATATATATATTCTTCATAGCGAAAGGGTTAATTAGCTGAACTATTTCTTTTTGTATTATAAAAACAAAATTGTATTTATCACTATTATAACTTTGCTATTGTAATTTTATTGACTGCATATAAGAATGGTTTTTTTGGAAGCTAAATTGGGAGACCATTTGCAATATTTGTTCATAGTATCATTATTTTAAGAAAAACTTTTCTGAAATATTAGATTACCCAAATGAAAGTTCGTTTTATAAAATTTAAAATTCGATTTACAAGTATGTTTTCGTTACATATATTTTTAAACATAATTCGAAATATATTATTTAATATATATATATTTTATATATAAATTATTATACGAGTTTTTCATAAATTTTCTTTAAAAATTAGAACGAACTTTCCAAGCAAACTAATATTAAGAAAGGCAAGTTATTCCATTTATTACAACTTTTGATAAAATTAAAGTATTAAACTATTTTAATGTCACATATATGCGTTAATTATTTAAAATTTTATTGATTTTAAAAATATTATTAATATATTTTTTTATTGCATTTACTCTTTCTTGCACTTATACGTATATATATATATATCTTTTTTGTCAAGTATAAATGCAAGAGTGTACTTTTATTTTCTCAACAGTTGTATAAATCCTAGTTAATAAATTTAAAAATAATGATATTGCTTTATTTTATTCCTGATATAATATTGCATCAAATACTATAATGTATTATATTCCTAATGTGCTCCAGCGATGTCGATTTATTATTAGTTATGAAATTGTTCAGAAAATTGTTGCAACATATTTAATACGATCTGAATGAATAGAAATTGAATGTATGAAAACTTTATATGTGATACAAATACCATTTATTAATTAACACGTTACTGCGTAAGCAAATGGGAGTTGTCCATAACAAGCTCTACCATAGTGTTTTATATTTTGTCTTAACGATCAAAAATTCATTGATTGTACTGTTTCTTTACAGCAAAGCAACTCATACTTGTGTAGGAGTCAACGTGTTATAAGCAATCTAATCATTTCTTTTGTTTATTATTATAGTATATTATTCAACTTTTATACATAAAATATACGAGATGCGTAATGTATAAATAAATAATTTATCAAAACTGCCAATATTTATATTTCTTAAATATTTAAGTGTGATTATGTACAATAACGTATAAATATATACATACGTATATATATATATACATATATAATATAAATATATATATATATATATATATATTTATATATATGCTGTGTAAATATATTAAATATGATAAAAACTTATTCCTTATCCAAATAAAAAATCAAATTGTATTAAAAATGCTAAGTTATTTTATCATTCCTTAATAATAATTATTCACATAAACTTACATATATAAAATACTATTATCAAAAACAAAATACATTCTCTTTCTAATAATAATAAAAAGAAGAAGAAAAAGATAAAATGAATGAAAATACTATAAAACTGGTATAAAAATTTGAGAAAAACTAAAAATTCCTGGACGCGCAATTAACAAAAATTAATTGAATAATTAATTTGACAATACTATGCGTATAGTATTTCTATAAGTTTATGAAAATATTTATCCGGATAAAGAGAGTCGTAAAATTGTAAGAGCTTGATAATCTCTGCTACAAACTACTACGTATTTACGTGAAATAGGAATAAGTCACGTGGACATTGAATGGTTAATTTTACATTGACAAAATCATCCAATGAGAAGAGTAAAAATAATTCGTTCATTGAGACGTATATACGCGATTGGAAAAGAGTCTCTTATTAAAATAATTTCAATGTAAATGGTTATGCAAGTTGAAGAACATTTGGTTGTTCGCGGGTTTAATATAAACCGGAACAACGTCACATCGTTAATCCCGTATAGGAGTGCAAGATTTGATGGCCGCATGCAGCTCTCTCTTCCGGCAAGTAGAGAAAGGGGATTTTGGTAGGATTGAATCTGTGGAAATATTTATACATAAAATACTCTTCCGCCATGGCCATCGGTGACTTGAAGACTGACAAGGGTGTTAAAGATTTAAATGCTTATCTTGCCGATCGTAGTTACATCGAAGGGTGAGTTGTAATTCATCCATAGTAAGAAAATTTAATCCCGTGTTCCGGTACACGTGCTTTTACTCTTGTCGGCATTTTAAAGACACCTATCCTTCTTTCCTTCCTTCTCTTATCATAGTACAACCTTCGATGAACAACACACGATAGGATCGTTCTTGAAATTAATTTTATTAATGATCGAACGTTAATGATACGATTATTTCCTTTGTCGTTATCGATTGGGAAATAATCCTTATTGGAAGAATTATATGATTATTATGACACTAAGAGGTTGACGTGAATTTTTTACTAGTCAACATAATTATCTTGATTCCAGATGTACATGTATCCAGCACATATGTGCCGGTATATGTAAATGTTCTAATATGTATTTTTATTATTATATCATACTTTTTAAGAATCCTTCGTTGAAATGATCATTTATGCCTATTTTTAGATTCATTGTATTTCTCGAAATAAAAATGCAACCTACCTAAGCAAAATTTATTGCTAATATCAAATAACTATTGTTATAAAAAATGATTGCGTGGAATTGATTTATTTGATTAAAATGTTAGATGGCAACCATCTCAAGCCGATGTTGCTGTCCTCGAGGCTTTGGAAAAAGAACCCAATTCTTCCAACCCCCATGTACTAAGATGGTACACCCATATGAAGTCATATGACTTTACAACACTACCAGGAGAGAAAAAGGCTCCTGTTATATTAGCCAATAGTCAATCTTCACAAGCTACTACTCCTTCAGCTGATGCTGCAGATGATGACATTGACTTGTTTGCTTCGGATGAAGAGGAGAGTACAGAAGCAGCTAAGATCAGGGAAGAAAGATTAAAGGCTTATGCCGAAAAGAAATCTAAGAAACCCGCTATCATTGCTAAATCTAGTATTGTACTTGAAGTTAAACCGTGGGGAGACGAAACAGATATGAAAAAAATGGAAGAAGCTGTTAGGTCGATCAAGATGGATGGTCTTGTTTGGGGTGCTTGTAAGTTCTTCATTTTTTCTTTCTTAATAATAAAAATCATATTTTTATCCATATGTATGTACTAAGAGTGTATGTGTATAAATTATAATTTCTTATATATTTTTAGCTAAACTTGTAGCAGTCGGGTACGGCATACAAAAATTACAAATAATGTGTGTAATAGAGGATGAAAAAGTTTCCGTTGATTTATTGGTGGAACAAATTCAGGACTTTGAGGAGTTAGTGCAATCTGTGGACATTGCATCCTTCAATAAAATTTAAAAGCTTCTCAGTAATTTTAATAATGAGTTAATAAATATTGTTTGTATATATATGTGCATATATTTGTTATTCAATATATCCCATCTAGTGTGAAGTATTTGTATATAAAGTCGCAACATTCGTCCATGTTGTTATAATATTACCATGAATGCCAGCAGGATTATAGTATTTTTATGCTCAACTTTACGTAATGAAGGCATATATTTTCCAATCAATGGAACAAATGCACCTTTCATAGTAAAGTTGTAATTAACAGTGACATTCCATCCTGCAGATGCAGCCCCATTAACAGCATATGAGAGCTCTTTACACTAGTAGTCCTTACACGTTTTAGACTGTATATTTCAAATGTTGGATAATCGTATTCTGCTGAATTTGTACAATGTGTAGGTCTTACTACAATCATTTTATACCTATCTCCCAACCTTCAAAATGACTCCCTTTACCTAAACAAATATTTTCGCCACTTTGGGTATGGCTCTACACTCTCCTATTTTATTTTCCTAAACTCACTTGAGGACTTTGAGAAGTCTTGATACAGATAATAACAATGTACCTTTAAAGGTTCAGCTTTTAATTACATTTATTATTGAACTTTGGTCAGAAATACAGCTCCATTCTATAATTAAGTTTATACTATCCCCATATTTAAAAAAAAAAAAATTATAAGATTTATAAGAGTTTATATAGATACATATTTCTTTGGAAGAACTCTCTTTTTTATAAAAGCCTTATTTTATATTGAAAATATTATCAATGAACTACAATATCACTTGTACTTTAAAACTACTTAACAAAATTTTCAAGAACAATATTTTTACCTTTGTAAGAACTTCATTTTTGTAAGATAATAATGATAAACAGTAGTTTACTTTTTCTTTAGGTATCCAATACGTTGTCTTCATTTTGTTTTTCTTATTATTATCATATAATTCATTTTTTTATGATAATTTTTACTTTGATCTACGTATCACGTGGTATAAGAGCATTAAATTCAGGTTGAAGAAACTCCGCTACGATAGCAGAGACCATCTCGTTAAGTATGTATTTTAATTTGTTTACATCTCTAAGAGAAAAAATCAAATATACGTTTACATTTAAATAAAGTGATTTTTGAAGTTATTGTAGTTAATAAAAAATACTTACTGTTCTTCCAGAGATGCGCATAATTCGCAGTAATATTTAATTTTAGGCTCTGTACCGCTAGTTCTTAAGGTAGTAACTAAACCATTGTCGAATGTAAATGTAATCATTTGACTGGATTTAGAGGTAGGTAAAATAGCTTTATTCCCCGGTTTAGTATTATCATAACCCGTTGTTAAATCACGAACACCAACTATTAAATATTTTCCATCGAGAATGCTGGTTGGATACTGAAAATATAAAGAAAGATTTTTATGTAAAAATAAAATATATTCAATTATATATGAATACTTTTTTTTATGCATAAGTGATTTCACAAGAAAATTTTATTTTACTCACTTATGATTCGCTTTTATACCTATAATTCCTTCAAAAATGGTGTGAGACAATAAAGAGATTGTAAAAGTGGTGCAGTAAGCATAGCAAAAAAGAAGAAAGGCAAAAGTGTCAACAATACAAAAAATATTTCCACCAATTTATCTACCCACATAACTTTTTGTGACATTTTTATTAGGCTGTGTAGTAATGTACTTATGAAAATAAGGTATTGTTTTAATATGCGTTAATTAATTTACGCAAATGTACACAAATTAATCGCTTATTTATTATGTAATTAATAAAGTTCATTATTTATAATAATGTAAGTATTTAAGAGTAACATGACAGTAAAAAATAATTATACAAAGAAATATAGTATATAAAATGATTCATTTCTTTAAGAAAATAAAATATCTATACGTGTACTTATTTGTTTTTAAACAATTACATAAGATTTTATCTACGTAAGAAACAAAAAACTAAACTGTATAATAAACATCGTTATGATAATCCTTTTAAATTGTTTCTACTATTATATATACATATATATACATATATCTTTTCTCTATATTTTTCAAAATCTACGTAAAAAAAGGATTTATGTATACAATAATATTTTAATAATAACGCCTTCATAACATATTAACTATCAGAATTGTTTCACTACATTTAACATAACTACACAAGCCAAATTGGTGGAACTATAATTACTAAGCACATACACAAGCCTAAGTAATTGTAAAACGAGTGTGTGCATATTAGTCATTTTCTACTACAACATGCATTCCTGTATGCATAGCTTGTTGACCTTGTAGCCATATAATGTTAAATACATTCTACTATGAACCTTCCTGCATGTATGAGTGCTGAATGAATGACTAAGCAAATAGGAAAATAACCATATAAAGTATAATACGATTTTAAATATACATAATAATGAATATGAAATGAAAGTAGGAATTTTTTTTTCTTTCCCATAGTGTATAATCCAAATATACTTACCATATTTTCATTTCCATTATAATTTCTCAAACGTTCAAATATTGCTTTAATTGTATCTGAATCGTGACAAATCCAATAAGAATTTTCTGAGATATGCCGTCCATATCTGCTTAAATAAATGTAATTAATTTTTGTTTTATATTTTTTTTTATATTTCCAAATAATTATTTGTGATAAAAAGAATATCGTACGTGTTATATATTTCTTCCAATTTATCATAGAGAGAAAGGCCTATAGTTTCTAAATAAGTTGCCATTTGAGCTATGTATGCACCAGCACTAATACCATCTTTATCCGGTACAACAGAACCACACATAAAACCAATAGCTTCTTCGAATGCAAATAAAACATCTTTACCATTTTTTATTAATTCTATGGTTCTATTACCCATCCATTTAAATCCTGTTAAAGTTTCCTTCAAATATTAAGAACAAAATAATTTATTAAACTATTGTGTAATATGATTTTTTAAATTATAATTCTAATATAAATCATTTTTTTGTGAGATACAAACCTCGAAGTTGAAACCTTCTTTTTTAGCCATTGAAGCTAAGATTTTACTTGAAACTGTGGATGAAAGCATATAAACATTAGCAATGTTGGCATCTGGATATTGTACTTTATGTATATGTAACATCCACCAAGCCAATAAAGCGCCCAATTCATTGCCAGTAAATATATGCCATTCTCCGCTATAATAAAAAAGGTATTTTACCATTGTTCAAAGATTAAAAAAAATTAATTTCTAAGTTATTTCTTTACCTTTTTGTTTTTGTTGCACAAGCAAGACGATCAGCATCAGGATCATTGGCAAGAATAATAGAGGACGCATATTGATTTGCAGTTTTAATACTTAAATCAAGAGCACTATTTCCTTCTTCCGGATTTGGAAATTTAACTGTTGGAAATTCTGGGTCTGGTAACTTTTGTTCTTCGACGGCTATAAATGGCTGTGATATAATAAAGAAGATAATTGTAATAATATTTTTTAATGTTTTTTCTTTATAGTTTTAAATAGTTATAAATACCTTAAGTTTTACAGCATTAAATGCTGCGGTCATGTAATCGTGTCCAACGCCGTGCATAGCAGTATAAGTAAATTTTAAAATAGTATTCTTATTAACTTCAGGATATAGAACACTTTCTTTAATATTTTCAAAATAAGATTGCATAATATCGTTCAATGGATCTTTGTATAAATGAGATTTATATATTCTAGATACATCCCATGACGATTCGGATGGTTCCAAATTTTTCAAAATATATTTCTGAATTTCTTTGTCGTGAGGTGATACAATTTGCGCACCATTATCCCAATAAACTTTATAACCATTGTCATCCTTTGGATTATGAGATGCAGTTATCATTATTCCAGCTGCACATTTATAGTGTAACACTCCATAAGATATAAATGGTGTTGGACAAATTTGAGAAAATAAATAAACCTTAATATTATTAGCTATAAAAATTGCACTTGTCAATTCTGCGAATCTAAAATAATATAAATGATTATTTTTTTAAACAATGTATAATATTTGAGATGTTTAAATACACATTTATATATTACATTATTTATAAACCTTTTACTATTATGTCGACCATCATATCCTATTATAACACCTTGTTGTAATAAATTAGGCATAGTGTCGAGTAAATATTTAGTTAATCCTTGACCCGTTTGTATAATAACTAGATCATTCATTTGACTATATCCTGGACCCATTCGACCTCGAAGACCAGCAGTACCAAATTCTAATCTTTTAAGAAAAAGATTAGACAATACTTGGATATCGACATTTTTAATAAAACTCTCAACTTCTTTTTCAGCTACCGAATTCTAAATATATCATAAAAATGAATGATTATAAATAACTGTAACGAGTGAAATCATATAAATATTAAATTAATATATACCTGATTCCATTGTAACCATTCATTGATTTTTTCATCCAATGTAGCATTGCCGGTATTAATCAAATTTTTAACGGACATGATTAATGTTTGTTTCGTTGATTGAAAAAATAATTCTGTAAGTCTTTTTGTTTGTCGATGTTGAGTAAGAACAACAAAAAAGTATGTTTTATATACTATCGAGGCAAATATTTATTTATCACGAATAGAAATTTATTAATTAATTAATTATTTAATGTTAATATTTATACTACCACTAAGGATCAATTTCTTTTTGTATATATTTTTATAAATATACAACTAAGAATATAGTTAGAGCATTAAATTGTTGTTTCGTACTGATTTTTATTACACACAATGTTACTAGAATTGAAAAATCGTTTATCGCAATAATATTATCTTCTAAGCAACCTCCATCAATCTTATCGAAACATTTAATCTTATGCCCGCTAAACTTCAAACCATTTGTATACGTATTTTTTATTTTTTTGTTTACGATCGTACTCTCATTAACCTCAAAAAAGATGACACCTGTACAGTACATACGTATACCGCCTTAATCAAATCAAAGATCTTTATATAAATAATACTATTAAATTAATATATAGTGTGTATATATATGTAATTCTATATTTATATTATAATAATCATAAAATATTTTAGTTTATAAATAATATTTTCTGTTTTCCTAAAAGTTACTCATTATTTTGCTAAATAAATTAAAGAATTTAGAAATAGTTTTAAAAATATTTATTTCACATGCTTTTTTTTTTTTTTTATACGTATATATTTACAAACATAATAATACTGTAGTTATTTTAATACCTTTTAAAAAATAAGTTAACTCGTCGAACAAAAATTTAATTCGTTTATTTTTTAATACAGGCTACAAAATATTTATTTTACTTATTTTTTTTTTTATATTAAGAAACATAACAACTTTATATATTAATTTTAATAATCCATAAAAGTAAAAACTAATTAAGCAGAGATTGAATCCAATCGTCATCGTAATTGTGTATTTTATTATTTTCATTTACTTTTGTAGTATTGTCACCTTCTAAAAATTCATTTAATATACTGTCTATGTTCAAATCAGCATCTATATCAAAATTATTAACGTTCTTGTCATCATTTTTGGCACATTCTGTTTCCATATTTCCATAAACGTTCTTGTCAATATTATTTTGGGTAAGTTTTGCTTCCATATTATTATCGACGTCTACAGAAGATTTAAAAGTTTTAACTGGTGAATTTTGTTTTTGAATTCGATTGGCAACAGTATCTTTATTGTTAACAATATTTTTGATTGCATTTATAACATTACCTACATTATTTGGTTTCTTTTTAAGAATGTTAAAATTAAATTTTTTATGTCTTTTACTTTTAAGTATACTTTCTTTCTTTTTATCAAGCGATTTAGAAACTGTATTAATTGAAGTTACAGGAGAACTTATGCCTATTGATTGAGAGGTGGTATCACTTTGTGGTGTAATAGAATTTGCACTGGTATCAAGTACTGTGTTAGAACTAAACGGTAATGTAGGTACTTTGTATGAGAAAATTACAGGTAATCCATTTACTTCTACACTTGTCACGTGTAATTTAGAAGGTGTAGTACTCTTCTTAGTAAATGTATTTATCTCAGTTTCTGAGTCTAATACAGAATTAGAAGACTCAATATTAGTTTGGCTTTGATCATTAATATGACTATTTATATTATAGTAGCTTTCCTCTTTGTTTTTTATCAAACTTTTTTCTCCATTTTTATAATTACTTAAATAAGTTTCCACTGTATCAGTATCGTAAATAATTTCTGTATCAGATTCGCAAATAACATCTGAATTAAAATTAATATTCATTATATCAGAATTTTTAGCTTCTTCGTTAATTACATCGACTATATTTTTATAACAGAATTGTTTTTGATCATCTTCATGAATAGTTTCGCCTATCTCAGGATTTTGTCTATGTATATTCCAATTTTCAGATTTATCATCAATATTTTTGGATGTAGCGTTCTTTAAACAGTAATCATCATGATCTGAGACACAAGGAATTGATATTTTAGTAGGACAGATGTTACTGTTTATAGTACCGGTAGAAATTGTACTGTCAGGAGAGAGTAAGTCTGTTAAATCTTTTAAAGTATCGATAAAAGGAGTTTCTGGTGGAGAATACAAGGATAATTCCAGAGGTGCTGGAACAACATTATTCTCCATTTGTATATCATAATTATTCCAATAGTATGACCACATTTCTCCAACTTTTCGAGGAAAGTATTTGAAGTCTTCATAACCAAATGGCCACGTGCACTGAAAATATAATAAACTTTTAAAATACTATAAAATCCTTTATATATGTATACATTATGTGATCTCAAGCTTTTTGTATTAAGTTGAGAAAAAAGTTTATTCGCATCAACGCTGGCTCGTTTTTTTAAGCTATAAAGTAGCACATATATCATTAATAAGGTAAATTGAATATTAAAATAACAAAACTTCATATTCTTGTGAAGAAATATGAACGAAATTTGTACTCAATCTAATATAATACATTCAAATTTAAGGTATATATATTTTAACCTTAGTAGAAAACAATATACCTCTTCTGTTTCGCATGCTAATACAATCTCGTCAAAATTAATTTGGAAAAGTTTTATTTTGTTACTAATTCCTTTTTTTTCACATAATGGACAATAATTCGGCATCTTGCAATATCAATAAAAATAAACAAATCCGATAGAACACATGTTTTACAGCCTAACGTACTACGGAATAAACATTAAGTTAACATCTGAGGATAGGTTAGTACTGGTGTTAGGTTGGTATTATTATGAATGAAAATTACGAAGAGGGATAAATGTGTATAAGTATATGCTATATCACTAACATATTTTTGTCAGAAAGAAAGAAAGAAAAAAACAACGTTGAGTTTCGTTATTATATTATATTATTTTTGTAGTAAGCATTTGGTGAAAATAAGAAAAGGTATATAAATATATATTATCATTTCAAATATATTGATAATATTTAATTCAAGAGTCATCCTATTGTGTTAATTTGAAATAACCTAATTTGGTTACGATACTTGAAATACTAATTCGAAAAGTTATATAAAAATTATTTAATCATGATTACCTTTCAAACAATGTCTTCTGAGACATACAAAGTAAATCATGAAAAGTTCATCATTTATTATGATTTTTATGATACACCTTTTGGAAGATGTATCATAGGTTTAACCGATACCGATAAAGCTATACTGCATTTTGCATTTGTCGTTAAGGATGACGCAGATGCAATGAAAGATTTAGAAAATGAATGGCCTTTGTCGCAAATAGTACAAGATTCTACCGAAATGATAAGCAATATTATGAAAGATGTATTTGCTTTGAAATGTGATGGGAAGGATACTAAATCAATCTTGGTACTTTTAAAAGGAACAACTTTTCAAATAGAAGTTTGGAAAGCTCTGGTTTCTATACCGATAGGTAAAACAGCATCTTATGAAGAGGTTGCACACATGATAAACAATCCTAAAGCAGTAAGAGCGGTTGCAAATGCTATTGGAAAAAATCGAGTGGCATATTTAATACCATGTCATCGCGTTATGGGAAAGAATGGTAGCAATAAATATAGTTGTGGATTGAAATACAAGCAAAGTATTTTGTTATACGAAAGTAAATTGCTTTAATTTTTATATTGATCATATAATTAACTTGATGAATTTAAACTATCCCTATTTATTTATTTTTTTTATGTATTTCTTTTTTACAATACTTATTTTAATTAAAATTTAAAACTCTGATTACCATAATAATTTAGTTGTATTAATTTCTTCTTTTTTTATTGTATTAGTAAAAAAATTCTTATTGCTATGTACACTATGCGATTACAAAAACAAACAGCTTATATTGTATACATTTTGCCTTATATTATATTATATTATTATATTCTAATAAATAAAGTAATTTTTATACACTTTATGTACATTTATTATTAAACTTAAAAGTAATCTTTTAAATATACTTATAAGTAATTTGAAAACAAACATGAAGTTTTATTTATTTTAGCGAATAATAGAATTTATAATATTTTGCACCAAATATTTAAGATTTAAAATAGAGCATCAAGCAAAATGGATTAAAAGACTGTATTGGGACTATAGATTTTTATATAATTTAATAATTGAATAAACGAAAAAACATTTTGAAAGAATTACCATTTCATAAAATTCCTATCATTTGCTTTGTATATTCTTCGGATATAGTTTTGAGATATTTTATGATCATAAGTTTGTTCTTAAAAAAATACTCTTGAAATATATAAAAGTCAAAGGTATATATCAGTCTTATCGTTGCTCATGTTTCTATATTATGTCTGCGAGCGAATATTTTTTCTTGTAATCATGAAATTTTGTATCGTTAAATTTTGCTTTTTGAATAAATTCAATTATTGTGACACATATATAAATTGATCAGAGAAAATTTGGAATATGAAATATAAAGAAATCATAGCTTGCTTTATATAAATAACTTTGTTATATATATTATGTTCAAATAGATTAAATTCTTGCCTCGCATATAATATATTGGTTTGTATCAGGAATCAAGTAATAAAAAAAGATTACAAGATCTTTGGGTATTCTCGATAATTTACAATACTTAGCCGACGAAAATGATTTGTATCTTACAAGGTGATTTGATCTAAAAGAAAATTGATCAATTTTGTTATTATATTACAGTAAAAGGTAGTTATCGTATTTTTCTTGTTTTACGTAAAATACTTTCTTGATTCGTTCTATTTATAAAATTTCAATATCGTTATTTGAGTCTTTGTAGTCTAACTTCTAGCGAAGATCATATAGTGCACTTTGATTTAGTCTTGTAATTAAAGTATAGTTTGATATAAAATGTATTGTAAACTTTCTACACTTTATACGAAAACACGTTATCGTATAATTAAATATTTATAGTGCCATATTAAATATTGCAATTCTCTACTTATAAACGATTTCTTATTTAATTAGTCGAGAATAAAACGTTCATCGAGCTTATGTAAATATAGAGTTTCGTTATCTACTTGCATTATTATTATTTATTCCTAAACTAAAAATATTGTTCGTTTACTACGTAAAATTAAATATTTTAAGAAATACGGCAAGTACCATCACAAAAACTAAAGCATTATTTTGAAGATTTTTTGATAATGCGGAAGATGGAACACCTCCTCCTGGTCTTCTCGTGGGTCCACCTATTAAAAAAAATATTAGAAATAAATTTTACATAACAAATATAATATTTTTCATTTATAAATGTATGTTTAATAGTTTTTTACCCGGAAATCTGGATCGTGGAGTTGTCGACACACTTATAGGATTACGAAGAATCGGTTTCATTGGTGTTGGTGCAGGACTAGGAGAATTTCCATAACATTGTCCTACAAAAAATTAAACCATGAGAAATTAAAAAAAAAATTCATCGAAATTATTAATTTACTTTATAAAGAAGCAATTATAATTAACCTTTTTTGTACAATCTCATTCCTTGCTCCTTAGGATCTATATCTCTGATACAATGATCACCTGCTTCCTTAATATAAATTTCCTCGTCATTAACGATCAAGCCGACAAAACACTCCTTTGTACCTGTGTCGTTTCTCATCGTGTAGGTGTACATTACACCTTTCTCTTCCCACTGTCCCAAGCACAAATACGTCCGTTCTGAAAATACAAAAAATTGTAGAAACGCGCGCGTCTAATTTTTTCTTATTTTAAATGTGAACATTAGATTGTTCAAAATATACCTTCATAGAGTTCCTCGGACTCACAGTCATAAACTTTATAATACATTATTTCTCGAGTATTGCAATTGCTACTCAACTCTGCACACATGCCCGATAAATCGGTTATCGTACCCGTGTATTGTCCAGTTATTGGACAAGGTGATTCTACTATTCGTTCAATACCTAATAACATTTTCAACAATATTTCTTGTAATATTCATAACATTTGGAATATATTACAACAATTTTTAATATAAAAAACTACTCACGTGCTTGAGTCATCCACACTGGTTTATCGAAGTTCGAATCGTCGCATAAGTAATCCTGATAACCTGGATTCATTACCATTCCTATAAAATTTATTTAATATTTAAAAGCGATGTCATATATATCTTCTTTAATATGTTCATGAATTTTTATAAAAACGTTTTAATTACCAATCGTGAATTCTAATACGTTTTCACTGCGTTGTCTCATCATCAAGCATACGTAAGCTTCATTCTCGCTAAAAAAATACAAAATGTTAAACATGTTTGGTTGTTCGAAAATGATGACCGTCATTAGCAAACGAGAAATCGAAAATTTACCAATGATCCTTTGAATAGACTACGTAACGTCCAGTTTCATCGTTTGATTCAACCGTAACGAAAGTGTAACTGTTATATCCGTTGAGATCGGTGAAAGTCATTGTACCATTTACGATGAGGGACTCTTCCCACAATCCCTGTGCCCACTTTGGAAACCTGAAACAAAGGAATTTATTATGCTGTAGACTGTACCACCCTTTAATACACATATACATACATACATACACCCACACACACACACATAAATACATATTATCGTATATGGATACTAACGTTGCTACATGAGTTTTTACATAATTCGGTATCGGCTTTTGATTAGCCATTTTGCTTAGAACAAATGTCTCAAATCCGTTCGTAGAATTGAATAAATCTTTTGTACAACTGGAATCTCCACTGAAGGCCATGTACGTTCTTCCTTTTTTGTTATCAGCGTAGAACAACTGTAACAATGATTTATTTTAATTTTGTTTTGAAATGTTGTATCCATACTAATTTTATTAATATACTTACGCCACAACGATACTGAGGACGATTTTCTTTAATAGCATCATTGTCTATCAAGGCAATATAAGTTGAACCATAAGGACCACCTGGCCAGCTACCCAAACAATTGAAGCTCAATTCTACGTACAAATGTATCGGTCAATTCATGCTTATACCCAACGAATATACAATAATATAAGATCTTTGAAATGATTTTCTCACCACGTGACTCGAAGGTACAATCATTGAATTTCAAATGTAAGACAGATCCATCAGGACAGTTATGAAGATTCGAGTAGAATGAGTTGCATTCTGTTGATATGGATGAATCATCGTTAAGACTGTATTTAAAATGATATCCTCCTACTATAGGACAATATTCGTTTCTAATTGGTGCACCGCCGACTTCCTTAGTACCTGGAAATCACATAAAAAACAAAAAGAAAAAATTAAAGAAAAAAAATAGTTTAAACGAATGTGAGGTATTTCGATAGAAATTGCAAGGGAGGTCGATACCGTTTTCATCGGTATGCGGTGTGCGTATATACAAAAAAGGAATCTCTACAAGATCAAAAAGATCCTTTTCCTGAGGGTACACCGAACGAGTCTGCTCGTAAGCGAAATGACTGGTATATCGAGCAAACACCGGTCCAATTTTCCAGACGACCACCTGCTGATCCTAACGACCTCTCCTCCTGCTTCTTCTCTTTTTTTTTTTACTTCTTTTTCTTTCTCAGTCGGAACGATCCAAGAGAAAGAGAAAAAGAAAAAGGAAAAAAAGAGAGAGAGAGAGAGAGAGAGAGATAGAAAGAAATCCAGGACAAATAGCGCAGCTACAAATCCATCTATGGGTGCATAATGCCAGGTGGACGTGATCGTGTGGAATCTCTATCCCCATACGAGTTCTCATGACGCTTTTAGGACGAAAGAAATTGTGGAAGAGAAGCCAGATATCTTATATTATACATATAAATGAGAAGAATAGATGCTAGAATAAATACCAAGGGTAAGTTTCTTATTTTTCCTTCTTCTTCTTCTTCTTCTTCTTCTATTTCTTTCAATTTAACACGTCTCTGTTAGTGTCCAGTTCAGTAACAACTATCGTTCTCTTTTTTGGATACAATAAGAGCTAACCCTCCGAACAGGAAATAGCTGAAATTCCATACGACGTTTTCCTCGTAAAGGGTCGATCGTTTCCTACCAACCAACCAACTAAACCATCAGGATATTTTAATATAAGGGGTGTTGTTATTTTCGTTAGATGCAAACAGGAGAAGACGCGCACTTTTCTGAGCTTTTGCGGGATTCCTTGGGACAAGTTACAGGCTTCCTTTTTTTTTTTTTCTCTACGTAATCTGAGAAGGTCTTCATGTTGGTTAGGATCGTGTCTTCGATGTCATCGATTTGCTTCTTTCAAAGGAACCGGCTTTCTTCAGAAAATACAGATTTCTTCAACGATTTTTTATTCCGCTGTTGAATAGATTTTATTTTCATTTAATGTAATTATCATTTAAAACGGGATATTGATATTCCGCGATCATGCTGTTACGTTAATGTATATAACATAATTAATTTATGTATATAAAAAAATATATCAAGAAAAAATTAATACAAATTTCTTCTGTAATTTTGTACTTCGCAGTTGAACACATTTAATTTAACTGTAATTAATGCGAACGTTTTAAATGTGATCCTTAAAATTCTGCGATAATGTTCAGATCCAAATGCAATATAATGTATTTATGGATAAGAAAAGGGAGAGTTTTACAAAAAAAAAGGTATGTCAATGTTGTTGTTGCTGTTGGATGTGGGGAAAATTGACGTTCACACACATAAAATGTAGCAAATATTTTTTTCTTCCATCCTCGCTAACCGATTCGATTCACTCACGTGGAAGAAGATCGCTATGCAACAGGTAGCTCAGGTAAGCCTCCTTTCTTTTCGTTCGCTTCTTCAACTTCCTGTCCTCATGAACGACGGCAACTTCCATTCATCTCAAGACTCTTATTTTTCTTCTTCATCTTCGTGAAGGAGCAAAAAGGACATCTCAGTTTCTCATCGAGTCGAGACGCACTCTTATCGATTTAAACAAAAAAGGACTAACGGATGCATTCGGAAGTATATTTAACAACAACAAGAAAAATGTCACACGCGAAGCGAGATGATTTAATTTATATAAAATTGTCCGGAACAATTGCAAATTGTTTAATTTTCTTTTGACGTAAAATTTTATTTTATATTGCATGTGTTTATGGTCATTACTGTTTTTATAGCACGTAATATATGTTTACGTAGTCGATCATTATACATTATGATACTGTTATTCTCAACGTTTTACTGTCCCACGCAAACAACTTTGTCGGGTACATTGAACTTTTAACAACATTTTTTTTTTCACATAGTTATGCGCTTCTTATTTATTTAATTTTCTTTTATCGTTCATTCGTTCGTTTTTTCCTTCCTTCTTCTTCCATACATCCAAAAGATATTTTCGTATCTTCCCTGTAATTTCATCAATCGTACATACTCATTCTCTTTATTTCTTTCTTTTTATTTTCCTTTACTTCCTGCTTCGAATCTTTTCATTCGAGTATATCTTTTTTTTCGATAATTTAAAAGGGAAAGAAGAAGAATCTGGTCCATTCGCAGGATAAGAAAATCTTGAAAATTTCATTTTACCAAGAGTTTTATTTAGTATTCCTTTAACAAGGGGATAATTAATTACTTCGATGACGACTATCCTAATTATATGTTCGACTAAAGCTTTTGAAAACTTTCTAGATTAGGATCTTGTTTCTTATCTTAAGAGTACCTCTCTGCTTAATTTTCATTATTTTCTTTTTAAAAACCTTGTCCCTTTACATCGTTCTTTTATTTCTTCGATACGCATCAGAGAGTCACTTGAACACGCAACTTACTCCTTCGACCATTTATTTTCCTCGTATAATTCATATTTTTCTATACTACATTATTTTCGTTCGATCATGCACGTTCATAATTTCATTTTTCAGATAATTATTAGACTAATAATACGTAAAATGATTTAAATAAAAATTAAGAAAAAAAAAATAATCGAATCATATTTTCATTTAATTTTTAAAGCACGTAATATTATAAATTCCCATAAAAAATATATTTTAGCAATCCAAGGAAGGGCCAGATGTTCCTATACATAATTTAATAACATTAACTAATATATTTATCTGAAACATATTTTGAAGTTATAATTTCTTTGTAAATTTTTAAACTTGACAAAATAATAGATTTAAAATAATCACCTAAGAACTTTAGGTTAACCCTGTAGCTATTTTTCAAAGAAGATTTACGATCGACCCCCAACATCGAACTTTCCATGTCTTCGAAAATTTGAACAGGGACCAGGACTAGGGCAAAGCTCGTTAGGGTTGTTCGAAATGAATTAACAATGTATGCTTTATTGGTCTGGAGGATGTTGGGTAATGGACCATCTCAGGGGTCCATGGTAGGAGACGATTAGAATGAGAACTTTTTGGGAGCAGCCACTCCCACGCTAGGGAATGAATACCTGCCAAACGACACTGTCGTTGTTCGGTCCTTTCCTCGCTTTGGACTCCAAAAAGAACAGGGTAAAAAAAAGGAAAAGAAAGGAAAGAAAAGAATAGGAAAAAAGAAACAGTGCAAAACAGGGGGACCAAACGGAGAATGAACGAGAATGCGAGTGGTCCTTTGACTGGGGGGATCTACGTGTTCGTTGTTTTCCGAAAACTCTTCTTTCATTCCTGTTGGAACATGTTCAAACGTCTCTCAGGTTTATTTAGGAAAAGAAAGAAAGAAAAAAGATATGAAAAAAGAAAAAGATTTCTGGTCAGTTGGTAATCCACCCTTTTTCCTAATCCTTTTGTATTCCTACTCCATCGTTTATCAAAATTTTATTATATTTGTTGGTACCTGATCGTCCTATCTTTGTATCTTTATCCCTCTCATACATTTCTCTATTTTTTGTTGTTGTATATTAAAAAAAAACATAAAGGATTTGTTTTTTTTTTAATATTGAACGAACAAAATTCGACATAGATTTTGGAATATTATTACGAATTATAACACGTGCTACGAGTTAATAACATACAACTGTCTGATGTTTATTCATTTATTTTAATCAGTTGAATCAATTAAGCGAGGTAAAGAAATAGTGTGAAAGATAAATGGTGAATTACCATAGATGATAAAGATCAAAAGGAACGAATTAAATCGTACAAATTTTTATGCAATAAAATTTTCTGAAATGTTAATATAAGAAAAAAAAACGGATATGATAATATATAATAAAATGAATGTTTGATATTGAAAAAAATATCGAATATTACCAGATAACAAATAATTAACAAAATCAACGTCAAATTAAATTAAATCAAAGAAAAACCATAATTAGTTTTGTCTCAAACTAATGGAAATAAAGATCTCTTAAGTAGGATTAAACTAGAAGCTGACAATGGTGCAAGTGCAAAGGTTAAACTCGATTTTCTTGGCTCACCGAACAATTCTATTGTCTCGTCTGTCAGAATGAATGAATAACACGGAAGAAGAAGAAGAAGAAGAAGAAGAAGAAGAAGTAGATGGAGAAAGAGAAGAAGAAGAAGAAGAAAAAGGGGTAGGGCAAACCTGTGGGATTCGATGCACGTGTCAACTTCCGTTGAAAAGAACTCACAGCTCGACAAATCTCAATATAGAAATGCGAGCGGAATGAATCGTCGCGTTAGTGGTACACGTCGATCCAAGCATCGAAGTCTCTCCCTCTCTCTCTCTCTCTTTCTATTCGTTTTCGCGCGAATGAATCGAAGATCCGAAGAGAATTTCTACGATCGAGGACACGCATCGAACCATGAAGATCGAAACTACGAGGAGACATGCCATACCAAGCAGCAATGGCAAACTTGCCAACGTGGTGTGTTCGACGAGCGTGTCGATTCGATAAGAACAGGTGTAAAACTTATTCCAACTTTGGGTCCTTCTTCTTATCCTCCCTTTTTTTCTTTTCTTTTTTTTTTTTTGCTTTATTTTTTTCGCATGACGAATCGCATCGGAAAAATTCCACGAATTCGTATAACATTATCGATAATAATTTCTTCACTTTTTTTCTACGAAGTAATTATTCTTCGTGGGAAGATTGGAATTAATAATAATTCGTCAAAATATACAATTGAAAATTGTTAATCAATGTTATATATAATTCGTCATTATATTATATTAATTAATTATTTCTATAAAATATATTACTAATAATATAATATTAAAGCAAGTATATTATAGACAAAAATAAATACAATTATTATTATGCCTAAGTCATATTCATTAATTATCCGCACAAACGTTCAAGTTATAATTAATATATAAATTTAACGAGTTCCTTTTCAATCATTAACACAAACACAGAAACTTTTCGTTGTTCATTGATGAATCGATTATATAAATGCACGAGCATCTATAATGCCTATTGGGTAGATAATTTAATTGACATGCACACGCGCGTGAGAAATACACGAGGACGATAACGATGAACGAAGGACACGCACACGCGCACATAGATACTTACTTATACTCACATTCGTGTATACAATTCGTAAACGTTAAAAGGAGTCGCGTGAAGGGGGGACACAAGTAAGAAAATTACACGCGTGTTTGAACGTGCGATTGCGTGCGTTCACGGCGATGCGTTTATTGCAATGCATAAGAAATCTCGTCGTCGAGAGCGCCATCGGCGCTCGTTCATTGTTTGGTTCCTTTCCTCATTAATGCTAATTAACGCTAATTAATTGCCTACCATGAACAACCGAAGACTTCCTATTCGATTTTGTTTCTTGCTTATCTTTCTATCGTGCTCTATCGTTTTTCTTCTCTCTTATATTCCACTCCCCCCCCCCCATTATGATTATTTATTTGTTAATTTTAAATCATTTTTATTTACATGTTTTTTTGTTTTACATTAACCCTTCTCCGAATGCACAGGGAAACATTTAATGTAAAAATAAAAAACGAAAAAATGTCACACGTTTCATTACTCTAGAGATAAAAACATTTCTAACGCTATATTTGGAATTAATTTGTAATAAAAAGTACTAGAAAAAAAATGGGGAGGAGGTTAAAGAAAAAGGAAATATTTTGTAGTTGATGTAAGTGCTAATTACAAAGGAGGAAAAAAGTAAAAGAAAAAAAAGAAAAAAGTAGTAGGAGCTAATTATAAGAAGTATACTCACGGTAAAGAATGGACGTAGAGTTCAGAGTTTCGCACGAAGCAATGGCGGCTGATTCGTAAGTGTAACACCTGTTGAGATCTTCCGAGAAGACTTCGATAACGTTGCGAGTTCTTCGCTTTAGCCGAAAGCACCGTATACAATCGCCGTCACCGTATCTGCGAAAAATAGAAAGATACGAATCAAAAGAAAGAAAAAGATTGTATGAAAGAAAGTTAGTGTTACGAATCGATTATGGTCGATGATCAAAATGACGAACGTTATTCCGAGGTGAGTGACTTTTCAACTCGGATTTCCAACACTCCCTAGGGTATTCTCGAGATGCTTTTTTTCAGATTTCCGATAGTCAGCTGCTAGTAAAGTAAGTTAGTATACCTATACGTTTATATATATGAGTATATAAGTACTGTTCGCTAAGAGATTCCTTTGACTCTTGGAATGCATTTACGTCAATGTAACGTGCGAACGCGTGAGAATGAGAGTGCCGCGAGTCACTTTACTTTTCCTTCAACTTAATGGCTCGTTCTACATTCAGAATTATAGTTTGGAATCGTTTACTTATGCTAAATCGTAACGGATAAAGATAAAGACAAAAATTGTTCTCTTTTCAAATTAAATAATTATTTGTTTTCAATTAATTATATAAGAGTAAGAAAATATATTTGTGACATTAAATTTGAAATGATTTTAACTTAAAGATTTGTAATGGTCTTTTTTTGTTTTATATTAAATTTAAAATGAATTTATTATTGTAAGCTCGAAATATATTTATTGCAATGAAAAGATGCGTATCTAATTTGTTTTTCGTTACGTAAAACACATATTTAATGATTCTATTAAATTAAGCATAAAAAATGTGTGATTAAATAGCAATGAAAATAATGACTCGAAAAATGTGTATGATTTTGCGTGACATAAGCGATAACATAAGCACCGTAATACGGATACGGATCGCGTCTCGGTTCAAGCACCGTATATTCACGAGAACTCGGAGCCTTCGGTTAAATTAACGTTAAATTGCTAACCTTCTCGTCTTATCTCTGGAGAAAAGAACAATGCGTTTAATATCGAACGAAAAGATACCGTTTCTATGTGCTCGAATAGAATCAAATTTATCTAGTTTATAAAAACACTATTATTATTCGATTTTTCATTTGATTTAACTCAAAATTTCATATAAAAAAAATAACCGATTTGGCAATTAATGACGATATTTTATTTTTATCTTTTTTTAAATGAACTTTTCTGATGCTTCGATCGAACGATTCTCGTCTGTTTAAATAATTATTTTCAAGAAAATAGAATATAATTCGTAGCTCGTAGTTCAGTAGCCATTATGGAACAGGTAATGACGAGGACAATTAAACGAGTCGTCGCGATTCTGTTGTTGTCTTTAAGTCGAGAGAGAATGTCGATAACACGACTCTCGTTATCTTTGATAACTCTCCTTTTATTTGTTGGAGGAAATTCAATGGCAAGGGGATTTAAATCGAGATGGAAAGATATCGAGATCACGTTGAGTGCGAGGATAATGACATTTTCGACATTTCTGGAAATGGGCATTGTTTGTTTTTAATTTATGTTAATTTAAATACTTTTCTTTTTAACATAAAAATGTGTAAGTACAGCAATTGTATTAAGAAAAAAAGGGCTGATATTTTTCAACATTTTTGTTCATCATTTATAATAAATAATATGTATTGAGAGGTTCGTTTAAAATACTGAAAAATAATTACTTATAATGAATAAAGTATTAAAATATATCGATCATTAATTTTATAAGATAAAAGTTATTAAGTAATCTTATTATTAATTAAACGCGCGTTCCCATATTATACTACAATCATTTTTTCTAGATCGCCTAACAATAACTGTGCCATATCTCGTCTCCGAACAAAGTCAACGTTTAGCTCGTTAAGGATTCAACGTGAATCATCTAGTATTATGGGTGCGCACAAAGGTGGGTGATGGGTTTATTCTCATTTACGTCAATTTATACCTACGTTTTTACTCCCACGTTACCCACTATCTTTCTCAAACTTCAAACTTATTTCGTAAAAATATAATTCGAACAGAATTAAAAAAATAAAATACACAAACAAAATTCTCTCATTCTCATTCTCTCTCTCTCTCAATAAATAAAACAGTATCTTTAGAGAAAATCTGATAGATCTTCGTTCGGATTAAAGTTTTCGTGTCCTTTCTTACGATCGGATTTCAACGACTAGCTCGAAAATTTATGACAGTATGCTAAATCGACGATTTTCACGTTTCAAGTGTCAAAAACGAATAAATTCAACAGCATACTACTCGACATCTCGAAACTTCCTTCGAGAGAAGGAGTTGGCACTGGTATAAGAGGGTCTGCATTGATTCTCAAGATGCAATGAGGGGTGACAAGGGGAGAGGGAGGAAAGAAAGACAGGAGGAGGGTAAGGTTGAAGTAGGGGAAATGGATGGATGGATCTGGCGAAACGCCATTGTTCTTTTGCTCACAAGTCGAATCGTTTCTACGGAATTAACCTCGTGTCGTGATATGCAATTCGCGCGTCTGGCAATGCTCGAGACTATTTTTGTCCCAGACGAATCGCAGACGAGACTAAGGCATTCTCCGAAGATGTATCGACCGTATACTAAACCGTTCTCAACCTTAACCTTTTTATGCGACTCAAATCTTACGTACGAAATTTTGCGAGACAAATTTGATATTACGAAAAAGTATAAAAAAGATTTATTAGAGGAGGAAGAGGAAGAAGAAGAAGAAGAAGAAGAAGAAGAAATAAAGTGTGGGTAAATAATGATTGAAAAATAAGAAGTGTTTGTTTGTTGATCGAAATGGAAAAAAAAAACAAACAAAAAATAAAATATTAGTCAATATTTACCTGTCTATTAAGAGAACATTTTCACCGACTCTTCTACGACAAAAACCCCAGACCGGGATGGCATTGTAAGTAATGTTAATGGTCGAGTATTGAATAGGCACGTTCGTTGTGCCAATGGTACTGTCCTTAACGTTCACCTGCGTCACGAATTCACCCTGGTATTCTGCAGGAAAGTAACAGCCCACCATGAATTGCGGATCGTAATCCTGCAGGACTTCGCTCGAGAGCAAGCTATTGTCTGCAAATGAAACGTGGATAATATAAATTATTATTTGATTTATTGTCGAGTTTAAAATATATATTTGTTCGGATTCTTATTTAAAGAGAAGATAAAAAAATATATATCAAGAATAATGAATATTTTATCAACGTTCGTTTTAATTAATTAAGAAATTAATTAACAAGTAGGAAGGGAATTTCATGGTAAAGATTTTTTTTCTCCCCTCTCCCTCTCTTCCCCTTGAATTCGAATGTGGCATACAAGGTTCGTCTAATTTAATGTTTTTAATGAATTATACTCGAGGATGAAGAAAAGGAAGTTATTGGCCGAATTCTCATAACCTTCTTTGTTAACATCGTCGAAGATCTCAAATTAATTATCGCATCGGAGGTTTTTATCGTTGCAAGAACGGGTTTACATCGCTTGTTTGTATTCGGTATAAATACGCACACACACATATATATATACAGATCTTTTAGTTCGAAGAAATCTTAAGAGAGATAGTGCAGAGGCTTTCATTTTTTTTGTTCTCGTCTTCTGCCACCCACATGTCGCACACCTAACACTCCATAAAAGGTCATTAACGTTGTCGTTAAATACCTTGGAAAGAAGGCAGGTGTTAAGGTGACAGGTGGACCACCAGCAAATGCACCTCGATGGAACGCGATACCTTATATTTTTTTAATCTTTATTATATATACAATTCGTGCAGTTTTTATTTTATATATTTTTATTTATTGATTTTCATAACTTAATTAATTTATTTTAAAGTTATGCAAATAATAAAAAGTAAAACAAAAGTATAGAAAATAACTTTGAAAAGATTGATCAGATATTTTCAGTAATTTATATTTAATTGATAATGTTTTTTAGTTTTTTTTTTTTTATCAAATAAAATATTAATTTGTTCCTTTCCAAGCTGAATTTTTTGATCATGTCATGTGTACTAATGATAAATAATATTTATTTATAATTAAAAATGAGTTTTAACATGTACCGAAAACAGTACACGTGACAGGAAACGTGATAAATATTAAATTCTCTTTGTTTTATTGTTAAATGTGCATACTCTTTGATTTTTCAATTCGGACTAATTCTTTTCTCTTCGTAAACAAAAACCATTTATCCACCTGCATTCTCCTACCCTGTATTCGTTCACACATACACACACACACACATAAACATACATTCTTGCCACGTGCTCATCGTTCATCTATCTGTACAATATCCATTCTGAGAATCTATCGTTCTTTGTAACATTCTTCTTTCAGGCCACGCACATATCGTTTTGTCTAAAAATTCTTTATCTGTACAATACACATATATCGTTTCGTTGGTTTATTCATTTCAATCACGTACCCTACAATACGTAAGTATTTACCAATCCGATGAAAAAGAAAGAAAGGGAAAGGGATTGGATAATCTGGCGAATGCTTGCAAGGCGATTTTAAAGTTCGAAGGAAACATTTCTCACGAGCCTTTAGGTGGAACGTGATAATAGGACGGGGACTTTTTTGCAGGCTCAACCTTTCGCGAGAAAGAATTTGCTCGGTGAATCGTAATCGTCGGTTCTGTGGTATAAACATAACACGCTCGATCGCTTTCAGAATTTTCTTTTTCTCGGTTTCGAGATCGATCGATAATAATCGATATGGTTATCGTACCAAAGGGCTGAATTTAGAAACGATTCTATTCCCCCCCTTCTCTTTCCTTCCTTTCCCTTCTCACAATTTTTCATTTTACCCCAAATTATTTGCTTCTACCGATTCGTGTAAACTTCAAGTATACGTGCTTCGATTGAAAATCTCACATCGACGATTTAGTATAGAATGAAAAAGAAACGTGGCCAAAGTCTTAATTAAAGCGAATACAAATTCTTAACGCATGTAGACAGTATTTAATGACAAGTGTTTTATACGTCCCTTTAACATTATAATGTTTCCTGCACGAGAACATAACGCTTGTGTACATATATTTACGTATGTGTAATATGTGCAAGCGGATGTTATTAATGACCCGAAGTATAATTAAAACTTGAATGTAATTAAAAAGTAATTAAGATATCTTTGATAATATATTCACTCTCTCTCTCTCTCTCTCTCTTTCTTCCGTCATTTTTATATAATATATTCTATAAATTCTATATATTATCTGACAATAATAATGCACTACTTCACTCACTTGTATATTACAATACTTTAAAGTATTATATACAGTATATACTGGGTGTATTATTAATTTATATAATATATTTTATTCAATTATTTCAAATTTTGAATTATTACAAAATATTTTTTAATTATTAATTTATAATATATTTGATATATGAATTACTTAAACATTAAATGTGAGATTTAAATGATAAGAAAATAATAAAAATTAAAAGTAATTTTAAATGGAATTTAGATTTGTACTAAAAAAAAAAAATTCAAATCACAATATCCGGTGTATAAAATTTCTCTTTCTATTTCTCTTACTTTCTCTTTCCCTCTTCTTCTCTATGTGTCTGTCTCATTCTATTTTAAAAGACTGGCCATACGAGTGCGAGGCAGTTCTTGTTATAAGCAACGACGGGAAACGCGTAGCAAGGAAGACCGCAACGACCGCGCGATTCAACATCATTGTCAAGGATCCACGACCCAATCCTATTCGTCGTCGATCATGCTGCATCTTGTGGGGTCCAAGTACCTTTGAGCGCCCGCAGTAAACAGGATTGCTTGTACTACTCGCGCGTAACTACCTCGAGCTACTCGCTTTGCGATTAATCGAATCGTCTCTTGCAACTTTTTTTTTTTTATTTCTCCCCTTCATCTTCTTCTTCTTCTTCTTCTTCTTCTTCTTTTTCTTTTTCTTTTTCTTCTTCATCATCATCATCATATTTTTCGTAGTCGGGAATGGAATTCAACGAGTCGTAGAAATGGAATACAAATATTTTAGCAAGAAAATATCATTCCCTCTTCAAAAATCTCACATTTGATTATATAATTATTAATTATATTAATTCTTAAGATTTAGATTTAAATCGGATTATTTTGTATGAGCGAAATAGAATCGTTTGAAGAAACACGTTTATTAGAATTGCTTGGTATGATTCTTAACGGTTCTCTTTAAAGTCAATATTAAACTGTTATTATACAGGCGAATAATAAACCTTCGTGATATTCTAATCGGGATAATCTCGATTAAAATCCTTTAACATTATCAAGATACTCGAAGAGCGAATAACTAAAGAATGAGAGAGAGAGAGAGAGAGAGAGAGAATAAGAAAGAGAAAGCACTCGAGTGGTTTACATTAGCATTACTTGCATTAGTAGGTAGATATACCCTCTTATCTACGTTTACGATATGTCTGTAAAGAATAAGGCAACGCCCGCTTTTGCAGTGAGTCCCTTCTTCCACCCTCCCTCCTCTCTTTCCTCTTCCGTTCTTCCATACCTTCCATTATTTCGCTTCTCTCTTTCCCTCTCTCTCTCTCTTTCTTTCTCTCTTTCTCTTTCTCTTTATATCTTTTTATTTTGTATTTTTTTTCAATGTTGTTGCGGACTTGCCTCCTGTACGAAGATACCAGGTGTTCTCGTCCAGGAGGGTCCTTAATCCGTGCCTCCTGGTGAATCCTTAATGAATGGAAGATGCCCGATTCCGAATGATCACTTTGAAAATTAGAGGTTCTCCGCACCCAAGCAAAATAAAAGGATGGTAAAAGAGATAGAATGAGAATAAGTAGTAGAAGGTGTATGTAGACTGACATTATTTTAAGGACGGGTTTCTTTCTTCCAATACCCATATACACGAATATATACACGTTTACTATCTTACTATTGATTAATGATTCTTCACGGACATAAAAATCTCCTTCTTTTTATTTACCTTCACTAAGTGAAAATGTTTCTTTTATGTTATTACGATTATGTTTTATATTTCACAGGGTAAATTTTGTATAGAAATTGAATAATTAGAAGTTCATTTCGAAATATTGGATATTTGATTAGCATAAATGAAAAAATGGAAAATAAATTTTGTTGCTATTACTATTAAATAAAAATAACAATAATATATATAATTATTTATATAAAAATAACAATATAATATAATACTAGACTTAGAAAACTTTTCCTTTACGTATTAGACACAGTATTTCTTTAATAAATAAATAATACTTCTATTTATTTTTAACAATCAGTCTCTCTCTTTCTCTCTCTAGAACCTATAGTATATAAGTTTGTATAAACATTACATATCTATTAGCATACTCAAAGTATTCAATAATTTCGATTTGATATCACATATTAGACAAAAATTTTACCCTCGAATTCATCACTGTGCAAAAACGGTAAAACAAATGCATCTTACAATTAGTTAAAACAATCGAAAATATTAATCAAGTATATTAGAGTTTAAGACATAACTTAAATGATTGTAAATTAATCGAAAAAAAAATGTATATTTTAGTTAAAAAGCACAGAGTATAAGTTCAACGTACCGTCCTCTTCGAAATCCACTGTTAAACTGTTACGTTGTTTTTCTATAAAAGTTCTTTTATTGTGCATGTGTATAACAAAGATAATATTCGTAATAAATAGAATTTCCTTTTTATGGAAAGTCATATAAGCAAAAATAAATAAGAAAAACTTTAACTGACATTTATAGGAGACAACGTGCCAATCTAATGGTGGATGTCGAGGAGAACGGTACATTCATCTTATACTCCGTGTTTTTTTATTAGAATATTTTTTTTTCGTTTAATTAACAATCGTTTAAGATGTATCGAACGCTTTAATGTACTCCACTAATACTTATGATTGTTTAAACGTATATACATTTTTTTTTAAACATTACACACACATCTATTGACATAATTTGAATATATATAATAAATAATATCGATCTGATGTTTTATTAGATGAAAATTTTACCCCACCTCCTCGAAGTCATCACTGCGCAAGTACGGTTAAACAAATGCATTTTAGTTAAAACAATCGAAAATATTAATAAAGTATATTAGAGTTTAAGACATACTT